CCACGACTTCCACTATGAGAGGCTTTATTGTATTTATCAATTCAACGAAAAGCATTTCAGATTTATCTCTGCGAATGAATTCAACAATGATGACCTAAGAAACAGTTATCAGCTAGTTTTTTTTTAATGTTTTATCTATTGTTGAATTTCAGATAAAGAACGTTAGAAGTTATCGAATATTGTAGATGTTTACTGTGTCACTAAGCTAGATAAATGTCTGATGAGATGTGTAAGAAATTACGCACATGGACTACACATCTAAGAGCCATCGAAGATGAAAGCAAATGTAGCAATCTTGTACATTGTAAGATATATTCTTAACGATAATAGATAGAGTGATTTAGAGAAAAGATTTCGATATTTAAAATAATTTTTAATCAGGAGGAATATTTCGCAAATTTTCCTTGACATTTTCAAAAAACGATGGTTTTAAGGCAACAAAAACTGTCTAATCTATTTACAGCCTTTTTTCATCAAACTGTACTCATTGTGAGAAAAGCATCGAAGCCGATACAACATTATGTTTTCGTCGATTTGCTATATTTTATGCATCAAACTCTACCTTGTATTATGCACAGTTAGATAAAGAACGATTGTAGACAACTTGAGAATTTCTCATTTTCCTAAAAATTATTTATGTTATCAGATGAACTATTTGCAAAACAAGATTTCAAGAAAAATTTTTTAAAATATCTTCTCATAGAAAAGCTTTTTTAGTTAATGAGATTTCGACCTTAATTTCGTCCTAGCCATTACTGTTAAGAAAATATTTTAGAATGTGCAATATTATAGAAATTTTTGTTCATTTTTCTTAGATTTGTTACTCTAGAATTGGTCGTACTTTATCTTTCAGACAGACTCCAGTAGATCAACACATCGTTCTTAGCATAATGACAAAAAATATGACACCCATACTGGATGAAACACCAAGTAATCAAAACGATCTTGTCAAATCTTTCATGCTTACGAGGAAATATTCCCAATTGATCCGTTCTGTTTGCCTCGATGATTTACCAATATGATAGAGATCACTAAACTAGCGTAATCTTCAAATGTTTTCTGCTCATAGTTAAATTTGATTGAGATAGCGTCTTTTTAGTAGATTTCTCATGCAGGGGTTCGGTTTTCGAAAAATTTTATATTTAGAAATTTCGATCTGAACCTTTGTAAACACGACAGTGTCTATTACACTATTCTGTGTATAAAGTTTCATCACTTTTGGACATTGTACTGTAAAGATATAGATTTATAATATATCTATGCTTTTCTTCAAGTGCTATGGAAGATAGGGATATATTAAAGAATCCATATCTTTGGAATGTGGTATCGGAAAAGACATATCACATATACAAAGTTTCAGGTCGAAATTTCCAAATATATTTTTTTTTCGAAAACTAGACTTCTGCATGAAGAATCTACTAAGAATTCAATATCTCGACTCATTCTAACCATGAACAAAAAAATTTTGGAGCTAATACTACTCTAGTGATATTTTACGTTTTGATAAAATATGGAAATAAACCGAGCAGATTACTTGCAAATATTTCCTTGTTACTGTTATGATCGATGTAGGATCGCAAGAATGACGCTCATTCAAAGAGCTTCATAGTTGTTTTTTCTGACTTTATCTGTTCATTCCTTCGATATTCGAAATAGAAGCTGAAGTTAAGACTAGGACCAGTAGTTTTCTATCGAAAGCAGTAGCCTTTATTCTTGCATAAAACTGGCATGAAATGTCATATTGACATAACTCATGCGTTCTAAATAGATATGCACAAAATAGGCTGGAACCAAAAGTGACTCTTTCTATTTAAATCTATTTCTAAACTATTCGTCCAAAAAAAACAAATAAATCTGAACAGAATACTAATCATATATACGAAAATCTATATGCATGTTGACTATCATTTTAACATCAACTATTAGAGGTTCTCATAAACATTTTCTCTATATTAATCTATCCACAGATCTATATTGATTCCATTCTTAAGAAAAAAAAATAGGTAGCTTCAAGCTTCTAACGATTACGTTATATCCCCTTGATACACATGATTACTTACCCAGTTGTTAATTTTTCATAACATGAATCACAAACACGTACATCACGATCAATACCAAATTTTGGAATAGGGCAACATTTCGATGAACCTATATTTACAATATATTTTTATTTTATTTTAAATCTACGATAGATTAATATAAGTATTTGATATTTACATTTATCACAAAAAATATCTCCACATGCTCGACAATGATGCTAAACGAATATTTTAAATAAAACAAAAAACAAAAAGAAGTTTATTTTTGTTTGTAATTACTTTTCGTATAAATGTAGTAAAAATTTGTCGACAACGAAAACATTCTTTATCATCACGCCATTCTGGTGCTACATCATCATTTTCAAACATAGCTTCACTTTCTTTTAATGGTGGAAAATGATAATTTTCAAGTTTCATTAAATTATATGTATCTGTAAAAATTTGATGTTGTTGTCCTAAAATCAACAAAAATCTCAATTATTATTTTTCAATATATTTATTTCGATATTACCAAGACCATAAGACCAACATTGTATTAATTCAAGTACTTTATCACGAATTGGTTCTGGACCATTCTAAGAAGAAGAAGAAGAAAAAAATAAAGCTTCAACATTCTCTCATTTTATTTGTCTTATTTACCTTAGCTAATTCTTTTAATGCTTCTATCATATCTTTTTGTGCAACTTCTTTATGAATTGATCCACCACAATTTTTAACAATAGATTCCAAACACTGAAAAAAATAATAATATATTAGAAAATTTTCAAAGGTAATATAATAAAATCAAATACTTGAAGGGAATGAAGAACAACATGTGCATTTTCATGACGGAATTTTTTCTTGATTGATTGTATTGTATATTTAGGTCTGAAATAAATAGATCATTGAATTAATATCTATAGATATATTAAAATAAATTCTTACGTCACTTCTTGTGTTTTAACTATATCACAAAGTTCAACAATTGATTCCCAATCGGGTTGAAGTAGAAGAGGACTTGTTGCTTTAGCTAGAAAATTTATTATAAAATATAACTTGTCTTTGCCTATTTAGAATATTTTATACCTAATAATTTATCGAACATTTTCAAACTTGATAACCAAAATACAATTGTAGATGAATCTAAAAACTGAATAATTCTTTTTCATTTTATCTTTTTTGATTTAAATATGATGAGTAAAGTTTAGATCATATTAGTGAAAATATTCAGGATAAGAACAAAAGAATATATCATCATGACGTTAGATATTCTGTTTAATTATGGTTTTTTTCTTTTTATGTTTTAATGACAAACTTTTTGTTTGATCTGTCACAATTCAATATTAATGCAAGCTGATTTTCTCGAGTAATTGGATTGAACAAAAAAATTCTGACATTTATTGATTATTTTTTATCTATATGAACATTTTATAAAATAAACTATATAATTTCTGTGTTTAATAATTAAGAAGAAAAATTCTCGAGTCCATAATTTGCAGAATTCATAATAAAATTCATAGATGTCGTTAACATTTGGATCCACTTTCATCTTCTTTAGTGAAAAAACTAGAATCTTTTTCTGCCAGAATATTTTGCTTCTCACAACAACTTGTAACACTTGTCGCCATGCCACCTTTCTCAATCTAATCCTTAATGTATTCACTGATGAAATTTGTGATTTCGAACATAGTTGTAAACAGTGTATCTTGGATAGCCCACTGTGATGAATTACATTCCATTTTCTCTTGTACTAAAAAATGCATCGTTTTTGAACTTGCACTTTATCTTTTGATTCTAATGCACTATAATATACACGTGCCGTGTGAATTGACTGAGAAGTGCCAATTTTTTTTCTCGTTAACACTGCGACTTTGATTATGAAGGATTTATCTCAAATTGAACAATATCTTTACGTAGTATTCTTTATGTTGCAATGCTCAGAATAAAAAGAAAAACCTAGTTATCTAACTAGTGTCATGATATATTGAAATGCCTCAATCAGTTACTTAATATTCATGACAAAAATCAGAAAGTTATTTTCCAGAAATCCATTGGGATTTCGATGCTTCTTATATGTATTGCATGAAAATGTATCGTCAGAAATAGAAAAGATAAAAAGTTATTGCCGACGAGGTACATATCAAGTTGATTGCACTTAAACATCGCAGAAATAAAATGGATTCTTTTTTTTTTCGGTGCATCTTTTCGGATTAGAAAAGTATATGGTAATGATTTAAGCGTATAGAGCTCATTGAAACGGAAGCAAATAGAAAAATAATGAGATCTTAAGTTTATATGAAGTTCAAAATATGAAATATTACAATTTATGATCAGTTAACGTAATAATCGTTTCTGAAATGATGATAAAGGAAAGCCAGAGAAGTAGTTCAACACTTATAACCCCTGATATGGATTTAACATCATTGAAATGTCATTTGACAAATTGATGGAACTTTCTAAATTTACTAATTATGTTGATTGAATAGATAAATATGTCATGACAAGGTCAGTTGACTTAAACTGGAATAAAAAGATAAAAGCTTTTGAATTTTCATTGACATTACTTTTAATCCATTAGTATCTACTATGTATATATATTCATAAAGAATATCGAAACTATTGCTAAGAACAAAAAACAATTGTTTTTTTGTGATGCACTTAAAAATAAATGAGAAACGGTCTGTTAAATTACATTTCTATAATTTTCTTAAATGATTTCAGTAAATTATTTCAAGCTCTTTTTTTTTATCCTTGAACAATCATATGCTTCCATGATTATATTAATGAACAAAAATCTTTTTAGGGAATTGAATTTTATTTTTGATCTTTGGCATATTCAGGCATAATTTTTGATTTTGATGATGATGACGATGATATTACAAATAATTTTTATTTGTTCTCACAATGGAAAAATGACTTTCCTGACTGGAGTTTCATCGTTTGAATATTTATTAACGATATTTTTAATTGGTTGTTTGAGAATTATTTACGACGTCGACCATACTTGAAAATGTATGGCATAGTCTGTTCTTGCATAAGTTTTTGTATAAGCATTGTAAGCCACGCACGTGCAAGCGGATTGGTTTCGACCAAATGTTTGAGTGACGATGATAAACGTATCGGTTCATTCAATTGATTTAAATTGGCAACGTTCTTTGTATGAAAGGAATCAGCAAGTTTGTTAGCAGCTGTATTAAAATTGAAATTTATCTTTGATGATGATGATAATGCTCGTTTGTCGTGTTGTTGATTTGGTAACAGTAACGATTTTCTAAATAAGAATTTTAATGATGATGATGATGATAATGATGATGATGATGATGGTTCAATATCAAATTCATATGGTTCATTGGATATATCAATAGAAGATAATGATAAATCGTCGTTTTCATTACTGTCACCAATTAACATTTCCAAATTATCTCCACTTAAATCATTATCAACACTCGGCACTGGACGATGGTTAAAGAGGCTAAGTGAAGAAGACAAATCATCAGATGGAGAACTATCGATATAATGAAGTTTTGTTGTTGATGATGATGGGAGGCCGTACACAGATGTGGTACATAAAAACAATGATGAAATAAGTGAAACAACAAACACGACCAGAATGTCGAAAAACATGATGAAAAAGGACAAGGAATTAGCAGTTCTTCAGATGTTCTGAAAAATAAAAAGAAGAAGAAGAAGAAGAAGAAGAGGAATAGTAAGCATGACATGTATACAAGAATTTGACATATGTCAATGGAAAAGACAAATTTTGCCTCTTGGCAATATTTTTCAGTGGCAATGATTCGAAAAAAAAAAGAAAATGCAAACAATTGAATTGACCATCTTTATTGTTCTTTACATGCAAACTACTATCTTAATTTTGTAAGCCTTTAGGCATAACAGAAAATATTCTGAATTGAATATTTATTTATTGACTATAAAATGACATTATATGACATTTTGAAAATAAAATCTAACAGAAATATCTTATAGTAAAAAACAAAAAAAAAAGGAGAAAAAATAGAACTTATATCTACCTTGGAAATTGATCGGCAGGTAGTGATACTTATTATTCATGTAGATTCATCTTCTTCTTTTTTTTTTATATTTTATCTTTTATTAGAAAATTCTCAAGAGGTAACAAGTAAGAGTGTGAGTGTATGAGAATCAGCAATATGCTCTTTTCGATTGACATTATATTGCAATTCTCTTTATATTTTCTTTTTTCTTTTTTTTGTTCTACAAATCTGTTTTTGACCGTCTATTCAATTGAAAATGGAACAAATAATGAATAAGAACGAGTAAATATTCTTGTTTCAATGAATCGTTCATGTCTATTCTAAACTTCTCGATATACTTATTGAAAAAAAAAGAGCATGACAAATTTTATAATTAAATAATTGTCATGAAATTCTATCTAGGTGACAAATCAACAGATAATACACATAAATATAATAATAACTCGATACAACATTATTGATAACGATAGACAATGTCGATCGGAAAACTTCACGTCAAATTTCAATCGGAAAATCCTCAATTAAGTTTTATATCTTAGTAAAAATTACTCCTCCCTATTCTTTGACAAGCATACACACACTTATACCAATAGAATATAAATAATAATTTGACGTCAAGTAGATTTTGAAATATAAAGGAGAATAAGAGAGAGAGAGAGAGAGAGAAGAATGAAAGAGAGTGTGTGTGTGCGAGAAAAAACTAAATATTTTTCTCTTTTTCTTCACCCACGCAAAATATTATTATCCAAAATATACTTGAAAATCAAATAATTTAAGTATGCAACATATTATATTGTCAAAATCAACGAGAATCGTTGACAAACCATTGTAATATTTAATGTACTTCACTAATATGTGGGCGTTTGTAGTCCACTAAAAAAAAAAAGTTACTTAGTGTGTCACGTTAGAAAAACCGCACAAATGACTAAAATGTAACTGTTATGCTATGTCTCTATGGAATTTATGCAATTCTTTTATGTCAAAGAAATACATAAGAAGAGAAAAAGATTAGTATTACCTTGAGTGAGTATCACAGTAACGAAAAACACTTAAACTTAGTCAAATATTACTCACAACTTTACAATTGTCTTTATAAAACATTTATAGTTATTAATGAGGCTAGAATATAAAAGAAGAGAAAAAAAGAAATGATGAGACGCATAGAAATGGAACAATTGATTGATTGGTTTTTCGGAAACGAAGAGGAAAAAAAAAAAGAAATAACAATATGATATTAGAGAAAAAAGAAGGAAAAAAGCAAATTGATTCACATGTTGAATTTCTCCGAAACACTAATGACATAAAGTCAGTGTATCATCCATAGAATATAGATATGATGACAACAGTAACATTTAAATGGACGGAGTTTAAACTTTCAATTATTTATAGAAAATTTTTCTACAATAATAAATATGATTCAACGAGAGATATGTTCTTCCTCTTTTCAAAAGAAAATAGTAGCGATGAAAAGGAAAAAAAAATAATCACAGAATATAAATATAGAGATTTGATGAATTGAATCATCATTTGGTTTTTTTTTTTATAGAAAATTATTTTCTTAATTACAAATATGGTTTCATGTTTGCTAAAATATTCTTCTCGGGATATGATTACTTTTAAGAATGAATAATAAGAATTCTTGATCATCATAAATTCTCATACATTTTTAAAGACATGAAAAAATGAGAAAAATTCGCCCACCTTTTTCTTTAATATAATAGAATTAGAATGTGTCACTTTTTTTTCAAGTATTAAACCAGATCATAAACGATGAATATGCAATAGACAATAAATAATTTAAAAGATAGTCACATAGAAAAAAATTTTGAGCAAAAGAAAACATATATATATATATATATCTTTATTTAGTTCAAATTCAATTCATTTGGTTCTATCTTAATGAATTATATGTCGTAGTATTTTCATCCGGGTCACGAACTATGTCTACTCGTTCATTTGTTCTTTGTTAAAATAATAATATTTATTTTCTTGCTCAGGTTTTTTTTTTATTCATATTAACTCTATTCACTTCGAATTTCCTCTATAGTCTTCATCGGAATGATGAAAATAGGTAGTCTATATGAAGAAAAATTCTTTGTTAAAATCTGATAAACATAATAATATAGACTTAAGAGATCAGAAAAAAAAATTTGTATCACTTTTTTACTTCATTGATATATTAATACATAAATTGTACTAAAAAAAAAATTACTATAATCAAATGTTATTTTCATATTTCATTGTAGAGTAGATTTGTACTATTAAAATAAATATATAGTACACATTGAAAAATCCCTATGTCACTTACTTATTTCTTCTTATAACGTACGTTCAATCAAATAGGTTATTTCCTTCGACTGTCAGTTGATTGACATCATATCGAATTTTTTCTTTTTGCTGTTTCTTACTACTTTTAAAATGATACTGCACCTTAACTTTAGATTTATCTTGTCGTGTTGATGTTGATGTTAGTAGTGCTCAAAATCAGGAAATGTCCTTCTCTTTTTTTTTCCGCTTAAAATTTTATTTTAATAATATCTGCTAATCAAATCTATGGTGTTTCCGAGTGCGTCATTATTAATGACGCACTAGGTCTAGTTATTTCAGATATAATTCGTGCTTATGAATTGTAAGTAATATAAAAAGGTGAATATGTGAAAAAAAAAATGTTGTCAATTAAATTCAATGAATATACTTAGGTGATAGAATTTTGTTCTCATTGTCTCAAATGTTCTAAATTGAAAGAAAAATAAATGTGTTAAAGAGCGCAAGATCAATTATATGAAAAAAGACAATAGACTAAATAAATAAAGATTTTTTTTATGTGAGATATTTCTTTTTCATCTTCTTCTTCAAACAATGCCATATTTGATTAGATTACTTTAACATAACTTCGTAGTTGTTGATGGTAAATGTACGATAGTCAACAGTAGATAATCCTCTTCTCAATTCAGTTATTCCGACGTGGGATTCATCTAAGATCAAATTATTCTTTTGTGCATTTAGTATATATATATATATTCATCAAGCTTTATCAGAGCTTTACTGTCTATCAAATAAGACATATGACATTTTATTATTAAAAAAAAAAGAATTCAATGCATGAGTAGAACTAAATATTAAAATTTAAATATATATATATATATGTTGATCACAGTTCTAATGTTATATATAATTATTCTTTAATAATATTCCAGTTAATATAAGACCAACTGAACAAAAAAGAAAAGTCATCCATGCAAAAGCACCGATTATAGTTGAAATAAGAAGAACAGTTGAAATTTTACTTGATAATCGTGCAGCTTCTACGAAGTCTTGTCGTTTAATCATTCGACGTAATTCATAAGTTTTATAAAGTGCCCAACATGGTCCAATAACAAAAAAACATAAAATAGTAAGAACTAATGCCCATGTAAAATGAACATTTATACGTGATGGTTGAATTTTCACAGAATTTTTTGGAGATTTTGATGTTTGTAATCGTAATGGAATTTTCTTTTTATTATTATTATGAGATTTTTTAACGTGAAGATCTTTAGCTGATAATTCAATAGGTGAACGTTGTGTATCATAAAATGTTCGATTGTTTTCTAACATTTTCTTTATAATAAATAAAAAATATTAAGAAGAAAAGAAAGGTATGAGTTGATATGTGAAGTTCCACAGTAGAAAAAGAAAATAACATCTTTTGTTTCTATTGACAACAAACGACGATGGAATGGATAATAAAAGGAAGGAAAAGAAAAAACTAACTAGTAAAAATTTTTAAACGTAATTTCTTATATCGTCTAAAAATAAATAAAATTTTTTTAATAGAGTTAAAAATGAAAATAATTATCATGATAGCTTGTTCTTACATTAATTCATTTTTATTATTAGAAAATGTTCCTGTATCACATATCATTAATTTTTCTTTTATATATTTTTTTTGTTTTCAATTAGTTGTACTTGGAAACAGTAAAGCATATTATCGAGTATATCTCTAATATCATTATTAACAATTGAAAATCAAGTATTCATATTGACAAGAAAAAAAAAAGACTTTCTTTTTGTTTTCATTTTTTTTTTTTTTTTTGAAAAAACACTATTCTTAAATATTTTTCAAGAAAATTATGTGTTTGTTATATACATACGATAACTTATAAAAAGTTAAAATTAATTTTTGCTAATATTATGACACTACAGAACTTTTCCATGCGATAAATAGTTATATTGCATGGCGTAATCAACAGATGTTCTTTTCCTCGTCTTCTTTGAAATAAATAATGTATTAAGAGTAAAATTGCGTCATCAATTGTACTCATGGTGATCTTTACGATACATGAATCATAATCGAAAACTATCGATTTTTATCCAAAGTTGAATTTGTTTTAAATCAATTTTAGAATTGTATGAATTAAAAATCATGTTTACTTAAGGGACGATAATTTAAAAATTTTACTATGATTTATTTATAAAAAAGAGTATATCACAACGAAGTTTTATTGAACTCTGAGACAAAACTCATAGTGATCATCAAAAGAACATTAAAACGATATGAAACTATTATAATAATGGATCTTAAGTCAATCTAAGTATCGAATCTTTTCAACTATTTTATATATATTTTTTATT